CATTTATATACAAACACATTTGCACACACACACACACACACACACACACACACACACACACACACACACACACACACACACACACACACCACTCAGTCATGGCAGTCAGGTGTGTTGGAGCAGGTAAGCTCTAAAACACAGGATGGTGGCCCTCCAGGACCAGAGGAGGTTTGAACACAGTTTCAAAATAAAGTTCACAGGTACTCTTCAAAATAAGAGTCCTTCTCTCTCACAGGTTGGATTATACCAGAGATAAATAAATGTTGTGTTGTTTTTGTGATTCACCTGTGTGATGAAGATCGTAACCATCATCTTCATCTGTGTGTGTTTTCTCTGAACAGAAGGAACCTGAAGAAGACGAGGAGGAGATGAAGAACAAAGTTAGCAGCACTCAAGGTAAGGCTCACCAGCTGCTCTCTGATTGGCTAGTTGACTTGTGAGAGCAGTGATTTGATTGGTTCATTTCTTCTGGACTTCAGTCAGCGTGAAAAGGCGCTCCTGGTCCTGGCAGCAGTACCTGAATGAGCAGAAGGCAGACGCGGCTCCGCCCACTCTTTTCACACAGGTAATGCACCTGTTCGGGTGACACCTGTGTTTAAATGGACTGAACTTTTACATGGACCTCTGTTCTCCATTAACACACCTGTACACAGTTCAGCTGGGTTAGGTCTGGGCTAACAGCCGTGCTGTTTCAGAACCTCCTCTCCGGTGGTTCTCAGGACCTCCTCTCTGGTGGTTCTCAGGACCTCCTCTCCAGTGTTTCTCAGGACCTCCTCTCCAGTGGTTCTCAGGACCTCCTCTCCGGTGGTTCTCAGGACCTCCTCTCCAGTGGTTCTCAGGACCTCCTCTCCGGTGGTTCTCAGCAGGTAGAAGGGAGTACAGCTGCCTGTGGATTAGCTCTGGGATTAATTGACAGGTGTTTCTTCCTCCTGGAGACACTATTGTTTTGGAATACAAGCGCACGGTGAGATAAGACATGATGTGTAAACACTTRCTGGAGAGAGAGGTGAAGGAGACGAAGCTGAGCAGATAACCAGGAGGTCTCCAAAAAACTGTCCATCCACGGTTACCTAAGCACTTAGAAACAACACCGTGACTAGATAGATAGATGGATTGATTGGTTGATAGATAGATAGATAGATAGATAGATAGATAGATAGATAGATAGATAGATAGATAGATAGATAGATAGATAGATAGATAGATAGAT